AAATAAACCCAAGATATTTGATTTGTACTCGGAAAAATTTGCGCTCTGCAGTTTTAATACTTTAATCCGTATTGTTGAATTCGGCTGAAAACAGAAAATTAAAAAAAAGTTAATCACGTTAATCTTCAACAATGATGTTATCGATGAATGCTGCAAATCCTGTCAATCAAGCCAACATGGCGTTCATTGTCTGTTGCAATATGGCGGGTGTTGGTTTGACTCCGAAGCTAAGATGGTTAAATATGAATAATCCCTTGTGGTAGTTGATAGTAAGGAGCTCTTTGGAATCATCGACGACTCCCAATTGAAGAAAAACATCAAAAAGATCAATTTTTGCAAAACGAATTCCGCCATTCAGTTTTGTGAAAAGATTCTCCTGCATTGGAAGCGGATACTGAAAGGCACCCAAAGAATTATTCAAACTGAACGAGTAATTAACACCACATATCCGGACTTTTCCATTTGTATTTTTAACAACTTCAAAAACAATTCCGTTGGATGACCTCATATCTACCGCCAAGAAGAGGAAGTTGTAATGGCATGGTTACGTCATAAGAGCTAACAATCTTTTCACTGTCATCTTACAAGGTACCGTCATAGGCAAATCGAGAGACAGGCAGAGGAAAATGGCATAACGATATCACTAGATACATTGGCAGACAATCACGACATATGAAAGGAACTGATTACATGTCCAACTTATCTGTGACCCTACGACCACATCCAGTCATGGGATTCACTAGATCCATTGGCAGACAATCACGACATATGGAAAGAACTGATTACATGTCCAACTTATCTGTGACCCTACGACCACATCCAATCATGGGATTCACTAGATCCATTGGCAGACAATCACGACATATGAAAGGAACTGATTACATGTCCAGCTTATCTGTGACCCTACGACCACATCCAATCATGGGATTCACTAGATCCATTGGCAGACAATCACGATATATGAAAGGAACTGATTACATGTCCAACTTATCTGTGACCCTACGACCACATCTAATCATGGGTTAGATGATGATTACTGTCGGTGCAGAGAAAAAGGATTAATAAAAAAGCAAATAATCAAATATCTTAGTTTTTTTTTCTTTTAATTCGTCTGCATTAAACATAAGGATGAGAATAATTTTCAAAAGTAAGGCAGTCATGCACTTAATACATCTATCGTAGTAAACCCCTACTTGAGATTAATCATTTGTCGTCTGTTTATTGATGCGGCCAAAGATAGGAAAATACTGAAAACAGAAGATATTGTCAACAAATACAACGGTGTATGTTTACGTGTGTTTATGTGGACACAACAATATGCAACATCCAAAAAACTATGAAATTCAGGTGGAGTTTTACAGATATAGATTTATACAAGATCTGTCGGCATGTTGTTTTCGTTGTAGAGACCAATAAGAAATGTGGACTTCTTTAATTACTATTGGTTAGTCGGTAAGTAATTTTGATTCTTTCTTCAAACGGGAATTCACAATTCTCTCGAAGATATGAAACTTTATTTTTTCTCTAGGGTGATTGCTTATATATCTGTCATCCAGTTTGCCTTACACGTGCACATCCTATGCACGGCCGGGATGACTACGTATTTATATGCCAGGAGGCATCCACTAACATATAGAGAAGGTTCGAATCTGCACCTGGTGCTTAGGAAGTTATCTTTCAAGTCAACCCGCCGATAAACGCGCCTTTTCTGACGGTTTAGTATAACAATGGATAAAAAGCCAATTCTAACATAATCTCAGGTGAGTCATAAACCGAACCTGTGCAATACAAGAAATTTAAAAAAAGAAAAAAGAAACCGTGTAATGTTAAGAATTTCCTGGCTCAATGTAAATGCCGAAACTATTCAATACACAAACTCACACAATGACAACGCCGTGTCCGCATAGTAACTGCATATGACAATCTCTATTCACACATGTAAAGTTACGCTAAGACACCGCAAATAGGTCTCGAGATATTCAAAATGGGTAGCTATGTTTTGAACATATCTTTTTGTTTTTCTGTGAAACTTATTCGTGTTATGAAAAGATGAATAAAAAACCTATTCATGATATAAAGAGATGAATAAAACCTATTCGTATTATGAAGAGATGAATAAAACCTATTCGTATTATGAAGAGATGAATAAAACTTATTCGTAATATGAAGAGATGAATAAAACCTATTTGTAATATGAAGAGATGAATAAAAAACCTATTGATGATATAAAGAGATGAATAAAACCTATTCGTAATATGAAGAGATGAATAAAACTTATTCGTAATATGAAGAGATGAATAAAACCTATTCGTAATATGAAGAGATGAATAAAACCTATTCGTAATATGAAGAGATGAATAAAACTTATTCGTAATATGAAGAGATGAATAAAACTTATTCGTAATATGAAGAGATGAATAAAACTTATTTGTGATATGAAGAGATGAATAAAACCTATTCGTAATATGAATAGATGAATAACATCTATTCGTAATATGAAGAGATAAATAAAACCTATTCATAATATGAAGAGATGAATAAAAAACCTATTCGTGATGTAGAGATGAATAAAACTTATTCGTGATATGAAAAAATGAATAAAACCTATTCGTGATATGAAGAAATGCATAAAGATTTTCAGAGAATTACTAATGTGTACGAGTATAAGAAAAATATTTAAATGCTGAATAAATTACGGTTTTTGTAGTGAGTTTTTCAAATATGTAACAAATATTCAAAGTCATTTGCTAAAGCTGTTATCCGCTAGACAATTTCTTTGGATGACAGCTTTCGCCCCAATGACATTTTCTTTGACGCACATATTTCAAAGATGCAGACAGCAATCAAATTTGTATCTATCAAAACAACCCGTATGAATTTGGCCTTATTAAAACTGACCTTCCCAAACTTATTGGCAGCCGACAAAAAATCTCTAACAGCTTTCTGTCGGATTTCAGTTTTAACAACAGTAAAAATCGAGAGTGTCTCCATGTTGGATTTTTTTTATGGTTATGCTGATCTTTTTGTATTGTTGACTGTGTTTATGACTTATACCCGAAAAGATGAATTGGCTTCACTCAACTTTTACTGGAATGTAGACTTGCAATTCTTCATGTTTTCATTGTAGGTCATGTGATTATTGCTTCAGGTATATTGTGGCGGACTTCACCACATTATTTTAACTTTAGATCAGGAAACAGGACTGACGCATAAAAGGATAAGCCAAAGACATTGTTACACATAAAATATGTATTTAACAAGATGTACAATATCAAACAACAATGTGAAAGAAAGCATGCATTTAAGTAAGAAAAGGGTGAAATAAAGAAGAGTTGCCTCTCTTTATCTGTTATTTTAGTATTTCAAAGTTCACTGGAATAATTTTCATGAGAGTCTCTTATAATGACTGTTCTTAAAAGATTTGCCGTGTTAGAAAAGATTATGTGAGTATATACAAGGTATGTTCAGCATATGAGTGGTGTGTGTGAGTGAGAATGTTGGCGCATGGTTTCAACTGTTGTGGATTCGTTTGGCAGCTGAATTCTCACTAATTAGCTAAGAAAAAATGTTGCTTAAATAATTGACTATAAGCTCCAGATCGCTGCGCGGTAAGAATTATTCTTCACGTGCAGACGATCTGATTGGTTGGCCTAGACCAATCAGCGAGCGAGCTTTGGGGAAACTTAAGAAAGCTTCTGTGATCCGTTTCTCCCAAAAGTGCACAAAACTGACTACATGAAAATAGAGAAATTACAGAAGTGTCGCATTATTGCGATTTGTAAATTGTCTATAATAACGTAGTGGTGATTAATTAACCAATGAATGCTTGGCGTTATATGTGATTTGTATTTTTGTATGTATGTATGTATGTATGTATGTTCGTGCGTAATAGATCCGCACAATGTGATTCCTTTGAACAATTTAGTTGGAGAAACAATAGTAATAAGTATTTGAATAAGAATATTTTACATCTAAAATGCTACCGTTCACATACATGTTCCCGGACGCTCATATTTACTATAAGTAAAAATATTCACTATATTTACTACTATTTAGCACCTGGTACAAGGTTTCGATAATGGAACACCCTCTGTGAATAAAGCGCATTAACCGCCATTTGCAAAACTAACTTTTGTACTGTTAACGTTTTCATGAACGTATGTATTTAATAAACTTAAACATGTCTGGCATAAGATCATAATACTAGAGTGATGATCAAATTCATTGTCAATAACTTGTGGTATCACTTTGCATTAAAAGAAGCATCTTGGTAATTTAACAATCTTCGCAGAAGAATCGTCTACAACAAACATTTAGTTGTCTGTCTCACTAACCTTGATCCAAAGTTGCAAATGGAGTTCATTTGATCTGTATAATTCTCTTAACTGTTTATGATCAGATAAAATTCATTTTATTTCTTCAACTTTATTGTTTTCTTCAATTTTGCATTTTTCTATAAATCTTTCTTATAATAAATAACAATACAAAGACAGGTCGACCGCTGCCGTGAGTCATTGTGGACTCCAGGATCTTGTTGATGTCGGTTTTAAATTCAGAGTTTTTTTCTTCTAGACTGTTTTCCAATCACGGCTAGAGAACCCAATCTGCACTGATATTTAACCCATAATTGGGGAGAGGAGATGGATTCGTATCTTTCCTTGATCATTTATTTCTATACATCAAATCTATTTAAATCTAAATAAATTAATCATTCAAAGGTTTTTTTAAAAAGATCAAATGTCTGAGATATTAACATGTCTGCATTCTCAACTATCGAAAAGTAATCTAAAAGAACCAACTAGTTTTGTAACATTGGGTAAGATTTTTTTCATGAATGAAACGTTAGCCGTTGTCTCGTAAAGCGTAGCAAATTTATCTGATGAATGGAACTAGTTTCTTTTAATGTGACGAACGTTCGCTAGAGGAGGAGCCGGCGGCGTGCGAAAAAAATCACAAAGTGCTAGGGACTGATACAAGAGAGATGTCCGCTCCTTAAATACTAAATGGAATGACAAACAATTGCTGTGAATGGAGAGGCGTCAAATGGATTGGGAATGTAATGAATGGCGAATGACAATGACGGCCATCACGATGTCGCCATAAATGAATAATGAGGCTGATGATGAAGAAGAAGAAGAAGAAGAAGAAGAAGAAGAAGAAGAAGAAGAAATGACCACCGTATCCGGCAATTTGATGACGAGAGGAAGCAGCCGTCGGCATTTTTGAGAAATGTTCTTTGCCTGTTTCACACACACGCACATATATAAATATATATATATATATATATATATATATATATATATATATATATATATATGAATGAAAAGTGTATATATATATATATATATGTGTGTGTGTGTGTGTGTGTGTGTGTGTGTGTGCAATATATATATATATATTTATTTATATATATGCGGTACTTATTGAAAAGCTCATCAGAGATAGAGCTATATATATATATATATATATATATATATATATATATATATAAGAACTTTGTCAACACTCAGAGGCGACAGGCTGTTTCATGCTAAACGCAATCGTGGCCTGACCATTGCATCTAGCATGAAACAGCCTGTCGCCTCTGAGTGTTGACTTCAACGTTCACTTTTATATTTATGTTTACATACGCTCTATCTCTGATATTGAGCACTTTATCCCATAAATATAGCACACCTCAAAACTATATTTATTCGTATATATATATATATGTGTGTGTGTGTGTGTGTGTGTGTGCGCGCGCGCACACAAACACACACGCATAAAAGTTTGATTAAAGACCGTAGACAAGGGATTTCTTTAGAAATTTTACTTTTTTTTCTTTCTTTTTTTTTTTTTTATATCCAAGAATCTCGTACCTCTATTCATGCCTCTGGCCGAAAGTGGACAATATTGTACATTTTTCGTTTTTTTTGTTGTTTTTTAAAAAAAAAAAAAAAAAAAAACGTTTGCCATTCATTTTTTGCCATTTGACATGCTCCTTCACAAGTTGAAAGGTCATGGTGTTTGCACGAATCTTTTTAACAGATTCAATCTTTTATATCAAACTGAAAAATTAAAGTGGTTTTGAACGGCCACTCTTCTAGATCTTTTTACATGAATGCAGATATCCCCAGGGCTCTATACTAGAATTTACGTTGTTCTTAATTTTTATCAACGACCTTCCTGTCATCAGTTCTCAACTCAATATCCATGCTGATGACGCAACTATTTACTCCTGGCAGATTTACTGTTAAGTCTCATCGGTTTGAGAAGGTCATATGGTCCGCTGAACTCAAAAAATGACCTACAATCTGTTGTTAACTGGGACAAGGAATGACTTGTTAAGTTTAACGCATCCAAAATGAAACTGTACTCTTTTAATCCTCTCAGAGGATACTTTGTGCATTGTATCAGTCTGGCTGATGCTAACTGTGATGGTCCAAGGTTAGAACCAATGAAAGAATAAAACGAACACAGGTATGGAATACAAAGATATATTACAACAGAAATATAATGCAAAGAAGTAGAAGAATTAATAATGATTTGGTTAGAGTGAACTATGTTATCTCGACAAGTATCGCTATTTCAATATGCTCTCAATTATCTCTCCTCGTCTTACAACATCCTCATACCTCTTGAGAGGCGCAGTATTTATAATGTCAGGAATAGTCCATTGTTATTATGGGTAAGTTCCCATAACACTAACCTTCACTGAATCATTGTGCCTTCTCAGTGGAAAGATTATCATTTACTAGGTTTTTTTTCGGTTCAGTGTCATGCTAGACAATTTTTCTCGATAAAACCTTATATATTTATAAGTCCACCATTCGTCCTTGCTTTGAATATTGCTGCCACATCTGGTCTGGTGCTTCTGCTATGTATTTAAAGATTCTTGATAAAATCTGCAATATCATTGGTTCTGACCTGACATCTCAGTTTCAGTTACTTTCCCACCGTTGTAAAATTGTTTCCCAGTGGTTTTTCTATAAATATTTTTTATGATAATTGTTCTGATGAACTTTCCTCTTTGGTACATAGACTTTATAAATTTAAGCGCAATACTAGATTGTCAAGAAGGTTTCATCATTTTACAATTCTATTCAAACACTTTCTTCTCTCGCACTTCTTACTTGTGGAACTCTCTTCTAGCTTCTTGCTTCCCAGTCAAATCTGGACTTCAAAAATTTAAATGCATGTCATTCGTTATCTTTTTAATCCCTGTTCTTTTATTGTTCCCCATCCTTAATAAATTTTTCTCGTATACTCTCACACTCGATAATCCATTACGTCTTAGAGGCTTTATTGCCTAGACGTGAAATGGTTAAAGCAATCATCTGGGAAATGAACTAGAAAGGAGTGAGAATAATCATAAATGAAAAATCTACGATTTGCTGATTACAATTTACTGATATCAAAATCATTGACTCGATTACAAGGCATGTTACATGAATAAAGAAAGCGCCACTGTAGGTTTAAAATTAACGTAAATAAAGTAAAAGTAATTGTACCATTCCAGAAAATATTATAAGAATAAAAAAAGGACTGGAAGAATTCCAGGAATGTGAAAACATTCAAGAAAGTGAAAACATTCAAGAAAGAATATAGAAATTAAATAAAACTATATATAACGACAGCGTGAAAAGCATTTCATAAAAATAATGAAAATCGCCTTTTGTTAATTTGCTTCAAGCAAAAAATGAATAATGAACGTAGAATGTAATTTATGAATTTTGAATGCGAAATAGGAAAATTAACAAAATCGCTTAAAACAAACTCAAAAATGCACACATCATATATATATATATATATATATATATATATATATATATATATAGAGAGAGAGAGAGAGAGAGAGATTATTAAAAAAAATATGCTTCCTTCAAAAAAATAATTACAATTTAAGTTCTATTTCTGTATGGCTCACTGTCTTTTAAAAATAAAACAAAAATACTAAAGAACTCCGGATTATTTACCTAACGTGTTCTTTCCTATTTTTCTATACACACACACACACACACATATATAGTTTTAAAGTGTTATTTCAGAGATAGAGCATATGTAAATATAAATATAAAGTGTAACACTATAGGCGACAGACTGTTTCATACTAGACGTAATCGTCAGGCATGAAACATGTCGCCTCTGATGTTGACTTCAATGTAAATATAAATAAAAAACCTAAAAAGTGAACGGCCATTTCGTCCCTATATTTGGGACCCATCAGCAGTGCGCATCCACTACCGAGAATTGAAACCCTGACAGTTGGGTTGTCAAGCAAACATCATACCAACTGTTCTAATGGGCCTCGGTGACGAAGAGGTTGCAAATCAGACTCAATGCGCACTGCTGATGAGTCCCAAATATAGGACGAAATGGCCGTCCAGTGCTTTCTGCATTCTGTTGAGATTTCTTCTAGACTCGATGAATTAATTAAATATAATTATCAAATCCTCCTAATAATTTCTAGAACATCACTACGACGCCCTCTAGTGCTAAATGAGCGTATATTCAAAGTATATATATATATATATATATATATATATATATATATATATATATATATAAGTGTGTGTGTGTGCGCGCACAACGGTGTAAGTGTGTGTGTGAGTACGCGTGGTATGAAGTGCTATAACTTTTACACGCTGTTGGTATCTGGAGTGAAACTGGAGTGAAACCGTTGAACAGTGCTGTCTACATCTCGAACGTTGTTCAACCCGTTCTGCTGCGATTCCTACTGCAGAGAGGCAATGTACTGTTGTTTCAGCAGACTACTCCCCGCCCATATGGCATCCTTGCGAATAAACATTCTATGCAACTTGCCTGGCTAGCATGATGACCAGATTTTTTTTCCTCTTTGAACATGTACAAGACATGATGGAACTACATCTGAAGCGTTCATATAGATTTGCAGCAGATTTCCCAGATTTTGTTATGGTAATTTAGGCACACACGCATGGACTCTCCTAGCTATAAATAGGAGCAGGTAGTGCCTTTTGAAGTGTGTAGCTTCCAGCAGTCAGCTCTGACAGTCGGACCGAACATTCTTGCTATAATACTCTCGTTTGTATATGTTTGCGTTACTGTTAATATATTTGTTTAACTCAATTCTTCTCTTTGTGTCTTTCTTTCTGGCTCTAACAAGGCCACAATAGATCTTAAGGTCGATTACTATATAAACGGAATTAACTCATACACTCCGTCATAGAATGATGAAAAATTATTTATTTTACACAACAAATATTTTCTTTTCAACATAATTTCTTTTCTTGCCAATGCACTTAACGATTTTTTGTTAATCATATTGTCATACCTGAACGTACCTATTCTATTATTAATAGACTCTCCCACACATAATAAGTACTAGTAGTAGTAGCGGTCGCTAGTTAGGCTCAGTAGTGTTGAGCGAGTCAGTCGATGTCGGACATTGAAGTATCAACCATCACGATTAGATTGCTGCGTCATTAACTCTTATTTCAAGTTCCTAACGTTTTGTACGTCGGACCCTTTTTAGGACTGACTTATTGAAATACAAGCCTCCACTGTAAAAACTACTCTACAACAAATATAGAGCAAACATTATACAGTGAAAATGTCAGATCAAAATTTAGCTAATAAAGAGAAGTGATAGGAAGTGTCAGTGTTGCTTGATACAATTTGGTGGAATTATGATAACGACTGCTACTGAGAATATAATTCAGTGGGAAAATAAGATTCCCTTAATTATTCCATCCGGCTATAATAACAAAACACGGAAACATTGAAATAATAGACAGAAATCATAGAGTAATGGTTACTATGATGAGAACATAGACCAAAATGTTCAACAACATCAATGAATGTGAATGGATGCTAATCACTTTAATATTTTATAATAACTGTAATGGAACGCATCTGACTAGTGTAGCCTTGTGTCAGACAAGACACTAATTAACAGGTTTATGTCACACACTATTTCTACTGTAATGAGAATGATTCTTATTGGGCGCTCCATACTCGTGGCCTTTTGTCAGACTAATACAAACTTCGTAACTAATTACAGATATTCTTCATTATAGAATTTTTTAACTCATTAGTTTGAAATGGAGGCACGTCAGAGAAATCAGATAGCGGCTCGAATTGAGGAATCGGAGAGCCGAGTTCGAATTCCAGTCGAATCCATTACATTCACTTACGTGCTAATACCCTTGGGAAAAGTATGAATCCTCTTCTTCACTCCCCATCTATGGGTAAATAGACCG